CTCTCCGCAGGCGGGCGGACGGCAGCATCCGCGCTCCTCTCGCCGGTGGGGCCGCCGCGCGAGATCACGAGTCTCCTCCGCAGCCTAGGAGTGGCCCGACCGCCGGCTATTCGCGCCTTTCTTCGCTGGGGGCGGGCGTCCCAGCCCGTTTGGAGGCATCTTCTCTGTGACCCCCCAGCATTTATGCAGGGTTTTCCCACAGCGCAGGAGATCTCCGTGGGTCGGGGATGGGAGCCGCAGGATTCCCGGCCAAGCTGGTGGAAGAGGTAACTTTCAACTCCCTTAACTCAGTTCAGTGTGGGTAGTACGTGCCCCACAAGAAAGAAAATTTAAGTAGACTGTACCTTCCACCTGCTTCCAAATATAACAAGATGCATATTTCTTATAGTTGAATTGTGTTTTCAGATTGTCACAGCTGCTTCTTAAGTCTAATATCAGATGCTCTAAATTGTTAATTGATTAAGTGTAAGGAGCGGACATATTCCAAAAATCAATACATGGAAATTAATTAAACTTGTTGTGGTAATCATCTTGCACTATATGCATATATCAAATCATTATGGTGTACACCTGAAACTAAGAAATGTTATATACAGCAATTTAAAAAAGAAGTCGACATTTATAAGCTGCGGTACACTGTAAATTATATAATATTCGTGTAAAAAATTTGTGTCTGAGTCATGGACAGCTGTGCAAGAAATCTTTAACTGGGATTGTCCCTGAGCTGAGGGATTGGGGGTAGGAATGGGAGGGAAGTTTCACTATTTGCCAGCTCTAATAAAACATTTTTCAGTAACAGAAATGTCTTATACTTGAACGGTCCAATTTCGTAGGTAATAGCCATGTGTGGCTACTGTGTGCTTGAAATGTAGCTAGTGTAACTGAGGAACTGAATTTTTAATTTTACTAATTTTAATTAATTTAGTCACTAGTGGCTAGTGGCTACCGTATTGGACAGTGCAGGTATACTGTTGGAAGTTTTTTTAATTTATGCTGCCTTTAAAAGTCAAAATAGATTATGTTGATTCCTAATATGAGGATTTCGTTCAAGGAATAAAATATATTGTCTCAGCCAATGGAAAGTAAATACAATAGCAAACACTTAAATCTTGCTTACTATTGTGCCAGGCACTGTTCTAAATACATTTCATATATTAACTCCTTTGCTCCTCATAGCAACTTTATGAGGCAGGCACTATTATTAATCCAGTTTTAAAGAGGAAGCACTTACGGAGTCATTAAGCCAGTAGCCAAGGTCACCCAGCCAAGAAGTGGTGAGCTGGGATGTTGTGCTGGGATTCAGCTCAAGCCAGTTGGCTCAGTCTGTGCACTTAACCACAACACTGATTCCCACAAAGGTAATCAGCTGAATCACGTAAATTCCTATAATTTCCAGTGAAAGTACAACCCAAATTATATTGGGGAAAATCCAAATAAAAAGATACACTACAACCAAAATCCTTAATCACTATTTCAAATAAAAACAAAAATTCTGTACGTTAACAAATTTTGAATAGCTTTAGTTAATAAATGAAAAAAATAAGATTTCTTCATGGGCAATTATATGCCTAATTCTGTTTCTTCTGCTTTTCCAATATCCTGTATCTCTTACCTCTTTTCTTCTCCCTCTCACTGTCCTAGTTGAAGACAGCCCAGTTTGTTCTCCCTACTTTCCATCCCAAAGTCCTTTTTTCTATACCCCAGATATTAGCCACCTGGTTGACTCTAAGTGCTCTAGATTTCTCGAAATGTCCTTCTCAGTATTTCAGCATCATCCCACTAACCATTGATGTGAGAAGTGTGGTCCTTGCCCCAGGATTTCTATAGGTTAACAGAGATTTAACATTCTCCTGGATTGCTCCACCAAGGGACCCTGCTCCTTTTGCTGCTGGTGACCTCAGAGAACTCACTGGATATGCTGCTTTTGCGAGTAGAGAGGTATGCACAAAAAGCCACACTTTTAGATTCCCTGCCCATCTCTTAATTTCCCACAATACCATAGGCACAAAGACTGTGTCTATATAGACTTTTTTGGAAGTCTTTTGTTTTGTTTGCGTTTTTTTTTCTTTTTTGGAAGTTTGATATTAATTAGGTGGAATTACATTTTCTGACTCACTTGGATATTAATGTGAATTTTCTTAGAATCAAAAGAAAAGAAAAAAATTGAATGGGACCACTCACAAAAACACCCCAGTTTCTAGCCTGATTTCCGGTTTTAAAGTCAACCATCCCACTTCTCTAACACACCCATTGTTATGGACTGAATGTTTGTGTCTCCCCCAAATTTTCTGCTGAAATTCTAACCCTCCATGTGCTGGTATTAGGTCTTTGGGAGGTAATTAGGTTTAGAGAAGATGGTGAGTGTGGAATTCCCATAATGGGATTGTCTTTAAAAGAAGAGGAAGCGAGACCAGAGCTTCCTCTCTCCCTGCCTTGTGAGCGCACAGAGAGAAGGTGGCAGTCTGCAAACCAAGAAGAGGGCTCTCAGCAGGAAATGAATCTGGTAGCATCTTGATCTTAGACTTCCTAGCCTCCAAAATTGTGAGAAATAAATGTCTACTGATTAAGCCACCCAGTGCCTATGGTAACTTGTCATAGCAGCCTGAGATAACTAAAACCTTATATACTTGAGGATCAGGAGGTGAGGTCAAAACGTCCTTGCTCCCTAAAGTACTACCCTCCCCCCACCCTCTTCAGGACTGAGGAGTGATCAAGGCTGTCATCCTGTGATCTCCAGGTCAATCTCTCCTATTCACTGAAGACTTTAGCATCTGACTTAATGCGTTTCTCTTCATCTCAGTTCCTTTCATCCTCATCTCTCAGGTGGTTGGCTGTTTCATGCCAGTGACTTTTCCCTCTATCCTACGTCAGCCATCCACTCCCACGATTACACCCTGGATCTTGTCTTCATCAGAAATTACCACACCTGCAGTCACAGCCCTAACACCTCACCCTCCCACCACAAACTCCTCTTCTTCTGGTTAACTTGTAAAAATATCTCATAGCAATGATTCTTTGAGCTCATTAAGATGACCAATCCACTCAGTCACCATGTCCTACTCATCAGTCCCCTCTGTCTTCAGCACCCATCTTACCCAGCTTAGACTCTGTGATTTAGCATTATAATCATTTCCTTGAAAATAGGCTCAACTCCAGTTCCCCTCTGCTTCCTCTGCACTTGTCTGGCAAAACCCCCACACTGAGTTACATCTAAACTTCAGCAAACACTTGGAGCTCAGTATGGGGAGATCTTTAGATTTTTTTCAAGAGAAGCTTCAGATCTAAACATCTATGTGAAATCATCCTATTTTGAAATTAAAATTAACTGTTGGTGACACACTGTGCTGGGCAAAGACTATGCCTTGAGGCAGAGATCACAGATTTCAGTTTATTATTTCTGTTTTAATGGCTTTCCATTATGTTTCAAGTAGTGTCAGAGCTCCTTGGCTCACAGACAGGTTGCTGCATAATCAAGGCCCTGTCTATCTTTTCTTTCTTACTCCCTACTTCACTCATTGTGCCTCAAAACACACTCAGCACCCTGACCTCTGTCTGCACACAACCAAGTTCATTCCTGCCTTAGATCTTCTGCACTTACTGCTCCCTCTTCCCAGAATGCCCTCTTCCCTTTTCCCCTCCCCACCCTATCACCACCACCAAGCTGGCTCCTTACCCTGTAGGTCTCAGCTTAAATATCACATCCACAAAGAGGTCTTTTCTAAACACTATCTCAAGTAGGTCCAAACCACACAAAACATAAAATTTAATTTGTACTTTGATAAACTTGTTGCCAGCAATTAGGTTCTTGTCACAGAAAGAATTCAGAGATGAGACTAGGAGGTCAAGAAAGTAAAATGGGGATTTATTAAGGGATAGGTAGTATGTTTTCAAGGGGAGAGTGGGCAGGCTCAGGTGAGCAGCTGCCCTGAGTTTCTTTGGCAACAGAGAGTATAACAATGAATGGGCAGAGTATCCACTGGGGAGGGAAGGGTTTTGGGGTAATACTCCCTGCTTTTCATCCCAACTCCAGCTTCCCTGGGGAAGGAGGGATTTTTGTCCTTATTTAGCCTGCATCAGAAGTGTCATGGTGTTGGCGCATGATCGGTACTTCTAATCTGCAAGGCTAACTTTATTGTAATAAGGTCATAATGAACAAAAGGTTATACTCGGACACTGGACATTCCTGCCTTTTCCCACATTTCTTTGTCGGTTTCCAGGCCACTTGTCACCACGAAATGTGTGATCACTTATCAATGTGTGATCACTTATCAGTCCTGAGGTTCCTGCTTTTCTCGGTCTGCCGTGATGTTCACATGATGTAGGGTTTCCTGTCATTTGGCCCGTGCCCCGCTTTCTCCGCTCATATCTAGCTATCTAGCTATCTGCCTGCTTCAATAAACCAACAGTTAGGCTTTCCTTTTTATTCCCCTCCTTCCCCACTAGCCTGCAGGTCAGGGACTGTG